CTCATTTGTGCAAATGTCAATGGTTGTAGTCTACCCGAAGAAACTTGGCAAATCTAACGCTTTAAAACAAGCCTTTTTCAATTATGCTATAACTATTTTTAATACATTTACATCGGGTATTTCGGCGACATTGCAATTGGCTAGCGGAGGCACCGTTCCACTCGTGTTATACGGTTGCGTGAAAGACAGTGATTTATCATTGTTCGGAACTTCTACTACTACTAGTACTACAACAGGTAAAAAGTTTTCTGTGTCATAGATTTCAGTATGTTTTCGCACCTATGTTTTCGCTTTTCAGCTTTGAGAAATTAGCTTATGAGCAAAAGGTGAGCATAGGAGAAACGTCTTGATAGTAAATCATATATCATTCAAATGTTACTTATGATATATTATGAGCTATTTTCCTACACGTTTCTTTTTGCATTGAAATCAAATAGAAATAAAAATGTTCGGTGTGTGAAACTCGTTATTAGTAAATTGAACAACCTTTTTGTTGACAATTTTTCATTGATTGTATCACAGAGAAGATTTTGAGTAAAATTAATACAGACAATTACATGAATAAAGTGCCTCGAAAGTCTCTGATCTTTTAACCAGAGTTGAAACCAATAGGGTTTCTTCTTATCGTTACTAGTACCATTAAAAACTGTCTGACGGAATTGGATCAACCGGTATATCGCCATGAGTCACTCTTCCTATTTTTAATCTTATAACAACCAAGTCAACGGCATGATTGGTCATATTGGTATCCTAGTTATTATAATAACGATACAACAATCGTGTAGCTTTCTCGTTGATTTTCACTAAGGTCTTAAATGCCTAACAATCACTTAATTGGCATGCACAATACCTTTCAAGAAGTGTCCACTAGCCTATTGATGAGTTTCCTTGTATTTTCAAGCAGCGCCGAGTGCCAGCTTTATGCGTTCGATCGTGTGTTATTTTTGTTGCTCGACACTATGAAAAACGGTACTTTATGATACGGTTTCTGCCAGAACGGCGAGTTAGTAGACATTCATGCAAATTATATCAGAGAGATTTATGTTTCGAGATGGTATAAGTGTTTTAAGATAATTCCTATAGATTTTCGTCAATCTTCAATAAGTTTCGCGAATCGCGATTTTGATGCTTGGAACTTGCATTTTTCTCGAGATGTTAAAAATTGTCAAATTCATGAATGATCAGAGGAGAGATCAGTGTGGTGTTTTACAGATTTTTGTAATATACCATGGAAAAATCATGGAATTTCAGGATTCCGCTATTGACCCATTGTATTGTGTTCAAAAACTCGAGATTTATCGGAGACGCGCCTTATTCCTATTCTAACGCCAGTAAAAGCTTCCATGCTGCGAGATGCAAGCTGTAGCACTTCTAATACTTGAGAGATTTTTTCAACTTAAAGGACATCAATCAAAAATTCAGCAGACACATTGCATCTCGTACTCTGAACAAAGCTCATGTGAGATCACTATAAAAATTGCCTGAAAAATATCTAGAGTGTCTTAGTTGTGAATACAAATAATAGCAAAAAAGATCTCATACTTTTGAAGCTATAACCAAAGCGGAAGTAAAGTCTATTGAGAGTATTAGGAGTACAGTTTATATTCAAGTTCAGATCTGGAAAGAGTTCATTTCATGGGGTTCGTATCCAACGTGCCTATAAGACAAAACCTATTTTGAGAAAGTAACGATATTCTATAGTTTTAACCAATGATTTCCAGGGTTAGCGAAATAAAGACTGACATCAGCTGTTATCGATTTTTCGGATAAATTCATTCACTTACAATGAAGACTAATTTTGAAATAGCAACTTTCTTACAAAGCACTTGATCCAAGACTAGTGTTGCTCAGCAATCTGAATACATGGATGCTTTTTCATAACTTTTAAATTAAGTTTTTTCGTCATAGAAGTTCATAAAGAACCGTCATTGTGTCAGAATAAGCCTTGCATGAGAGAAAGAACAACATTTAGATGTTTCGTCGCTACTTTTCATTCCGAACGTCCCTTTTTGCAAAAAATAATCATTTTTAAGATAAAAACAGCGGATGTTCGTAATCCGAAAAATACGAATGTTCGGAAAAGAAACGTAGAGATGTTCGGAATAGAGATCTGCGTCTTCTACTAGTGCAGCACTTTAGTTCCAGTTAACCGATGTTTCGAAACCTGTTTCTTTCACAACGCAGTACACAGTATGGCAGACACATAGTTACAGATGTGAAAGTGTGTACTGAATTGCAAATTTCTATTCACTCTTATTCGAGGGTGGTTCAGCTAGGATGACTTCACTATCAAAACTGCCGCGCCTATCTACTTCCTTTGTCTTTTTATTATCAGAAATAAATGAGTTTTATTTAACAAAGAACCATATGCGCAGACAGAAAGTCGAACTCTTAAGAAATACAATGGCATAGAGATAGTGAGACATTTCAATAATAAATATACCTCAGTCCATTTCGAACACCAGTCACTGTCTATTCAGAGCTTCCATACAAAATACTTACGAACATCCTTTGTTTTCTGCCTGGAACATCTGGTATCAAAGACGGATGTTCAGAATGACAGCGACGAAATGTCTGGAGGTCGAAAGATCAAATTTGAAAATTGTCAATAGCTGACGCTCACATCCGATTTCCCGACTTCGAAAACATTTCGTGTAACTTTACAATTGATTGTTACTTCCCCAAAATAAGCTGTTCTTGACATTCGGTGGAGTGGCTGTGGCTGTGCACGAAGTTACTATTAGAACATCCCAACACACCAAATTACATATACATTCTAGACACACATCGCAGACTGACACTGTATACGGACATCTAGTCACACTTACACACGCCGAAACCTACATTTCAGATACAGGATGATATTCGTACTCTAATTTAAGACAGAAATGATACGAAGTAGCCAGGAGTGCTGCATATGCATCCTTATTTCTAAGTATAAACAGAGACAGTGCAACAGAAACTTGCAAATTTTTATACAAAATATTTGAGTGTGTTGGAAAAGGAAAGACTTTCTAAGGCTAGCACTTCAGTATCTTTCATTTCTCTCAACTCCCGTCAAATCAACTGTGATCGATATCACTTCATCACCGATGAAATTTCATCGAGGAAGTAGTCATTGGCAATAACTCTAAAAAATGCTTCAGCATCTTTTTTTCCTATTAGCACCATGCGCTCGAATTTTTGCCGGACCAACCAATTATGTCACTGCCGCTAACTCAATACCGGTGTCTGTGAGGGAAGCCGATCTGTATAGTGTGAACGGCCTCGATGTTGTTGTCGCAAATAGTGGTACAGACAACGTTGGTGTTTTACTGAATAATGGTGATGGTACATTTGCTCCTCAACAAACCTTTTCAACTGGCGCTGGCTCAAAACCCATGTCTGTGTTTGTAACCGATGTGAATGCTGCCGGGAATCCCGATATTGTTGTCGCAAATAGTGGTACAGACAACGTTGGTGTTTTACTGAGTAATGGTGCTGGCACATTTGGTGCTCAAACACTCTATCCAACTGGCGCTGGCTCAAAACCCATGTCTGTGTTTGTAACCAATGTGAATAACGGGAACGACCCCGATATTGTTGTCGCGAATAGTGGTACAGACAACGTTGGTGTTTTACTGAGTAATGGTGCTGGCACATTTGCTGCTCAAGTAATCTATCCAACTGGTGCTGGCTCAAAACCCATGTCTGTGTATGTAGTCGATGTGGGTGGTAACCCAGACCCCGATATTGTTGTCGCAAATAGTGGTACAGACAACGTTGGTGTTTTACTGAATAATGGTGCTGGCGGATTTGGTGCTCAAACACTCTATCCAACTGGCGCTGGCTCAAAACCAGTGTCTGTGTATGTAACCAATGTGGGTGGTACCCCCGACCGCGATATTGTTGTCGCAAATAGTGGTACAGACAACGTTGGTGTTTTACTGAATAATGCTGCTGGCGTATTTGCTGCTCAATAAATCTATTCAACTGGCGCTGGCTCAAAACCGATGTCTGTGTTTTTAGGTAATGTGGGTGGTACCCCCCAAGTCGATATTGCTGTCGCAAATAGTGGTACAAACAACGTTGGTGTTTTACTGAATAATGGTGCTGGCGTATTTGCTGCTCAAGTAACCTATGCAACTGGCTTAACACCTATGTCTTTGGCAACAGCCGATCTGGATGGTGACACGGACTTAGATATTGTTGTCGCAAATAGGGGTACAAACAATGTTGGTGTTTTTAAGAATAATGGTGATGGCACATTTTCTCCAGAAGTAACCTATACAACTGGCGATGACTCAGCACCCATGTCTGTGTTTTTAGCCAATGTGGATGGTGTGAACGGCCCTGATATTATTGTCACAAATAGTGGCACAAACAACGTTGGTGTTTTACTAAATAATGTTGCTGGCGCATTTGCTGCTTAACAAATCTATGCAACTGGCGCTGGCTCAAAACCGATGTCTGTGTTTGTAGCCGATGTGAATAACGCGAACGGCCCCGATATTGTTGTCGCAAATTGGGGTACAGACAACGTTGGTGTTTTACTGAATAATGGTGCTGGCACATTTGCTGCTCAAATACTCTATGCAACTACCGCTGGCTCAAAACCCATGTCTGTGTATGTAGCCGATGTGAATAACGCGAACGGCCCCGATATTGTTGTCGCAAATAGTGGTACCAACATTGTTTGTACCCCTATTTGCGACAACAATATCTAAGTCCGTATCACCATCCAGATCGGCTGTTGCCAAAGACATA